TTTGGACGGAACTTGGCTCAGTGATTGGAACTAATTACGAGATATCCGTCGCGATTCTGACAGTTGGTATTCCATAGTTATTAATGTAGTGAACGATTAATCAAAAGATATGACGTATTCAGTACTTAGTGTGATTGGCTTTATGATTGAAGGTTACGCCCTAGAGTCTTTTTACTGCATTGTAATTGGTCAGAGTTTTGAAAATGAATAAAGAGAGTTTGAGTTGGTCTTGGCGAATACTCCACGACAGACGGAGTCCTGGAGAGACTTGGGGCGAGCCTTGACGCAGTCTAAGAGAGTCTTGGGTCAGCCTTGCGAGAGCCTTGGGGACTTTTCCCCAGGGCGCTGTGTCTTATAGAGTGCTCCAAAAGATCGACTAAGACGAGAGCTGAAACGTATTTCGGTGTGTGTCTTATTTGACTGTAAAGTATAAGTGACTTTCCCGATCCTGTACCTCAAGGGAACGAGATAGAGAGACGAGACGAATTTCCCCCTGATAGTAACTCGAACTTTAATTCACAGCTAACCAAACTTAGAGTTACGGCAACATAGATTGTTTGTTTTGTTTAACGTTGCATGTTGCCCGTTACTCGAAGTTCGGTTAGCGGCCCTGGTAATTAATATTCGAGCGTTAAAGCGGGGGAGTCGTCACATGCGCATGCGTCAGATGGCCATAGCGTGTCATTGTTTACAAACAAGCGTCTACCCTTGTGCCTTTGCGTTTTTGTTGGTGTTGTTATCGTCGCTTTGGGCCTCAATTCCAGCGTGTGCGCAGGTGACGACCCTCCCGCTTTAAACAAAACCAGACATCCATGTTACTATATCATCACGAAATCGAATGTTTCTAACAATCTAAAATCTAAGAAAAAAACTTTCGGTATATATTTTTTAGGAAAAAAGTAAAAAAAGAGTGGTTGCTTACGCCACGTGTTACATACGTAATGTGGTTTTTTTTTTGTCGGAAGGAAAGTTCTCAAATTGATGGCTGGCGTGCCGAGCCTGATGTATGCTCGGAAGAGCATCCAATATATTTGTAGGACAAAGTGTATCAAACACTTCATTATTTCAAATGAGGCATAATTATGGAATGAGATTCTGTTCTATATTCATGCACATCAAGGTTTAGCCATGGCCCTAATGAATTGGGTGTGATTAAGCTACGTGACCGTGGTCGAAATAATTATGTGTCGCAAGTCTGTGTGTAACCAAGGTATAAATCATTAGTTGAAATGTTTCACAGCTATGACCGTGGTCGGTATCCTCGGAGCGGAGCTACGTCACAGACGTTCTACGTTGCTAAGACGAGCACCTCTGTACCACGTATTTCTATGGGCTTTGTGCGCGCTGCTGTGGAACGCCGGTGGAGCCGGTGAAAACTCGAGAAAACAACACAAACTCAACTTTGAAGTAATCCTGAACAACCAAATTCATATATGTTACACACGTAGGGCTAATCTTGTTACACTGTTCAGGGAACTCTCAACAACAATTGCAAAGTACCGTTTTCTGCGAGTTTTTGGTCTTTGTTTACACCGCGAGGGTTGTCAGGCGGTAGAAAATGCCCGGATGTCAGCCCCCGAGGATACCATCTAGCCAGATTGACCATGGCCTTGATTGGCTAAACATTGATGTACATGAATATACAACAGACTTACATAATTACACCGCATTTGAAATACTGAAATGTTATCAATAAAGATATGTATTACCGTCCTCCTGGCGCAACAACGGCATTCCATCTTTGTAAATATTTATACATTTTCAATTCGAACTGAAACGAGAGGTTTCTATTGGTCTGCACAAACCCATGTTGCTGATCACAGAAAAAAAAAATTGCCGAACTAATCTGTCTCTAATAAAACAAATCCATAGTTTTACCAATTACTGAGGTAATGCATTATTGGTCTGTATAGGTCTACAGTTTTACCAGCAGTGTTTTCTTTATATCTTTAGATGTGATATATTCAGCACACCTTCATCAACGTCGTGCTGTAGAAAACTCGGCTATGTTGTATTGCAGGGTCACTCATTAGACAACCTGTCTTTGTTTTTGGCGGTACATATATTATAACATATAGTGACCAACCACGGATGTTGTGATGTGTTGATACATGTTACTAGTGTGTGGGATAAATACAGACGTGTTTTCATAATTTATTGACATTATTTATTTATAGTTATGTCCTACATGCGACTTTATTTATATTTTTGCAATTAACGTAAATTTTCTTCGCTTTCAACAGCATGGGGGTTTGTTGGTGAGCACACATCTGAAAAAAAATCAAATCAATTATTTAGGTTGTCAGCATTTCTCAGAATATTACAGTGGTTCGCAGAATAGAATTGCTCTTCTCAAATTAAAGTCGCGTGTCTCAGAATGGCGTCGCGCTTTTCAGAATCGAGTCGCGTTTCTCAGAATGTCGTCGTGCTTTTCAGAATCGAGTCGAGTTTCCCAGAATGTCATCGCGCTTTTCTGAATCGAGTCGCGTTTCCCAGAATGTCGTCGCGCTTCTCAGAATCGAGTCGCGTTTCTCAGAATGTTGTCGTTCTTTTCAGAATCGAGTCAAGTTTCCCAGAATGTCGTCGCGCTTTTCAGAATCGAGTCGCGTTTCTCGGAATGTCGTCGTGCTTTTCAGAATCGGGTCGAGTTTCCCAGAATGTCGTCGCGCTTTTCAGAATCGAGTCGTGTTTCTCAGAATGACGTCGCGCTTTTCAGAATCAAGTCGCGTTTCTCAGAATGGCGTCGCGCTTTTCAGAATCGAGTCTCGTTTCTCAGAATGTCGTCGTGCTTTTCAGAATCGAGTCTCGTTTCTCAGAATGTCGTCGTGCTTTTCAGAATCGGGTCGAGTTTCTCAGAATGTCGTCCTGCTTTTCAGAATCGGATCGAGTTTCTCAGAATGTCGTCGTGGTTTTCAGAATCGGGTCGCATTTCTCAGAATGTCGTCGTGCTTTTCAGAATCGGGTCGAGTTTCTCAGAATGTCGTCGTGCTTTTAAGAATCTGATCGAGTTTCCCAGAATGTCGTCGCGCTTTTCAGAATCGAGTCGCGTTTCTCAGAATGTCGTCGTGCTTTTCGGAATCGGATCGAGTTTCCCAGAATGGCGTCGCGCTTTTCAGAATCGGGTCGCGGTTTTTAGAAGAGCGCCGAGCAATTCGAGTTATGAATATCGATGACTACACCCATATGACTGTTAACTAAACTTCAAGTACGGGAAACATAAAACGTTAAACAAAATAAAAAAAAACTCTATGTCGGTTCGGTTAAAAAAATTTGGACGTTCAACAAAAACAAAAATGTGTGTTGCCCGTAACTCGAAGTTCTGTTAACTGTTAATTGATCATCGAGTTACAATTTGTTTTGTTTTGTTTTTTTACCAGTTAAAAAAGAAAAGATTTTGCAATGAAAATGAACTGAAACAGATGATATGTGTGTGTTTGGTTGAGTAAATATGACCGTAGCATAATTTTTGAGTGGCGAGCGAGTTTTATCCTGCGTATTTTCACCTTATTGTGGTGGCGTCTCCGGTGGCTTCCAGTTAATATCCCAGCCAATGAACTCGTCGTTCTTAGTGTTCTCGGCAGTCAGATAAGTTATCAAAGGTTTGAAGAATTCCTGTAACGGGAGCGTACTCATGTCACGTGATCCGGTCATTGCTTCTAGGACGTCCTGCCAAGGTATACTGGAACCAGGCCTCATCATTTCCCTGAAAAAGATCAGCGTACTTAGAATTACTCTGCACCTTCGTGTTTGATACGCACAACTAAGCGTACATTGGAAACATGCAGATCTTATGCGCACCGCGCAACGACTATATCGCGCTAAAGGACGACTAATGCGTGCTGCGTAACGTCTGTGGCGTCCTGCCTGACGACTGCGGCGCGCTACAAGGCTACTGTTGCGTGTTGCGTGACGACTGTGGGGAATTTTCTCTATTTATATATGATTATAATTGTATTAGACTCTTTTCATGTCCGTCAGTCTAAATTATCACAAATTGTGTAAATTTAAACTGGGTAGATGATAAAACAAAGTGATAATAATTTTGAATACTATTGTGTGATTTGGATTAATTTTTTGTTAGCACATTGTGATTATTTGACCGCACATTTGCAGACTCAACGATAGACAACAACACGAACATGTACGCTAGCTACTAATACATATTCACGCAATCACACACATATCTGGCTACATCGTGTTGTCAACAAGACGCATGTCGTTAGGCACACACACACACACACACACACACACACACCC